GAATAGAGGACGGGCTATATTTATGGCCGCAGAGGGGAAGAGGTTAGTTAACGAAAGGCACACAGACATCCTATGGCGATTCGGTAGTCAGATAGATAGCACACCTCGGGGCATCTCCGCAGAAGCGCGCTCACCATAACGCTACCTCCGAAATGTAGTATCAATCAATCATCAAACTTCCGCATTGCGAGAGGCATTCATTAAGGGAGATATATTACTTGGATATATAATATTCACCGAAAAGGAGAGAAGGTTAAGAATAATACGTGAGAATAAACAGCGAGAGAAGAAAAAGGAATGAAAGCAGAATCACATCCAAAGTAGTAAAGAGGGAAATTTTTAACGATCAACTTGGGTCAAAGCTTCCAGAGGTTAAGCCGCGCTAGTGACAAAACCGGAGCGGGAGATCTTATCTTATCTGATCCTCCAAAACCCCTCCGATGCTATTCTACAATCCGCACGCTTGACAAATACAATAGAAGAAGAAAAGGAGTCGAATCAAGTCTACAAAGAAAGGGGGAAAAGGGAAATGAAATGATAGGAAAAGATTATTCACAGGCCCCTCTCATCCACATCCGGATCCGCACCACCAAGATATCTCCACAACCGGCTGAGGTCACGAACAGTCATTCCAGCTCCATCATTCTTATCGTCATCCTCATCATCACCATCACCAGGATCTTCCGCGCAAAACCCACCGCCCGTGCCCACTGATATAACCTCATCCCCGTTCTCACCTACCGCAGCAGACGACTCAAAACCGCCCGTTTTATCTGCCGCCACAGTAGCATAATAAGCCTCCCGATCCCGACACGTACACTCGTCAACACTAACCACCTGATCTAGGAATCCCGTAGGCGCACCCGGCCGATTATGTCCAGGTGGTAGCAGCCGCGTATCCAGCGGAAATATATTATCCAGATAATGCTGATTGAACATATGACCGGTCACGCCGTTCCGGATAAACACTTTACCACTATACCGCGTCTTGGCTGAGCGGACGTTGTACATAACACCCCATCGCGGAACGATGTCCTCCCCGTTAACGTAGTGCTCAATATACCTGATGACTCCTTTTGAGCGACGGCGGCGCGTGGGTGAGCTCACGCTAGGGCCAGAAGGGGAAATGGGAATGGAAGTGGTCTGGATGGCGCGCATGGGGTTGTTGAAATGTGCGGCAGCGGAGCCGAAGGTGTAGACTTCGAGTTTGGCCATGTTCTCGGCGGAGAGGATAGTGAATAGGAGGTCTAGGGCCATGGAGACTATAATGCCGCCCTGTGAATGGGCGATTAGGACTACTTTGTGTACTGTTGGGTCTGTCAGGCAGTGTTTGAGATGGTCGTAAGTATAGCGTATACTGTAGGTGTTGTAGGCGAACGAGCGTTGGAAGATGCATTCGATGATATCCCAGACGAGGCCATTGGTAGGGTTGTGGATTCCAGTGATCGCGCGGCCAAAGGTTCGGGAGAGACGGGCGCAGTTATTGGCGAGGCCGCGATTTCTAAGGGATTTTATGAATAGTTTAGAAATACTCTACCGCGCCAGAATTAATGAAAAGGTGGTAAAAATCGGACATACCCAACCATCACCCCATTCACAAAAATCCACTTCTCACCCTTCCTACCATTTACACTATCCCCAATCCCCTCCTCATCTCCTTCTTCAACCCCAACCCGCGACTCCACCATCATTGGCCCCTGAATCGGCGCGCAAATCGCCCATACCAACCCAATCGTCCCCCAGAAAACCGCCGTGCTCATCCATCCAGGCGACAACGTCACCGCCACCAAAACCAGACAGCCTAAAAGCGTTTCGAAAATGGTGACGAAGGTCAATGTAGCTAGGTACCAGATGTTCTGGGGGCTGAGGGAGAGTTCGTTGGTTGGGTCGTTGGTGGCGAACGGGGAAAAGAGGTTCGGGAGAAGGTAGAGAACAGAAAAGAGGGTGCGAAGATCCCGCCAGGCGAGGGCGAGAGGGTTTTGCCGGGCGCGGGGAGGCGAGGTGTAGACTTGATCGTCTCGTTGTGGGGGCACGTAACAGACCGTCCCTATATCCGGTGGTGTTGCTGGGCTCATTGGGCGGGATATCTATAGAACGACTAAGAGCAACAGGAAAGTAGAGAATATGGGCAGAGTAGATGGAAGTACGGCGGCTCTTTTTTTTAGTTCTCTTTTTCTTGCTCCGCTCCAGCGGAACTTTCCGTGGAAGGAGCAAAATAGAGATTTCAAAGGATACAAGGAGCAGCCCAGCAGGAGTTTGCGTAGAGTAGAGAGCTGAACGGAGGTTCTTTTAAAATCAATAGAGAGAGGATATTCATAAAGATAGAGAGTTGAAGAGAAAGACGGAATATCCGGGGCGTGGTATCCTCAGTAATTCGCGGGAAGATGCTGAAGCCGACAAACTACTGCAGTTCCTGGCACCTTTCTTTCCTTCATGACTCACGCCATGTCGCATATACACAGATATATATGTATAAGTTATATATAGAGAGAGAGCCTTGCAACTTTTGGAGGTCTCAAGGTGATCCAACCCAGCCAACTCTCACAGGTCCGGGTGAGTAAATAGAAAAGTCACCAGAGGAAATAACAGGGAACAAAGGCTGTTTGTAGAGACATTGCAATGTAACCACAACCCAGCCACCATCACCACCATCACCACCACCACTACCACCAGCCAGAGTCGCATCCAGCATCCAGAGCAGGATACACTTTGTGAGCTGGACTGGTCGAGGCTGAGCGGATGTAGTTGTCTGGTCACAAGCACAGAGCTGGGGTTTGGGATGGATGAGAAACGAGAAGCAATGACAAATGTGTCGGAATCTGGTAACTAACTATTGTGGTTGTTCGCGTCAGCTGGTCACTGTATGAAATGTTCTCAGCGCATCCCCCGTTGTAAAATCTCGAACATAGGAATAGAACAGGGCCGTTGGGAGACAATTCTGGAGATGTTTTGTGTCAGCGTGTGATAGGACGACCTGGGAATGTAGTATCACATGATTCGATTCTCTCAGTATAGTTGTATTTGTGACATGGCGGGCTGCATATATAGTTCAAGACTAGACTTACTCACTTGACTATACAGAAGATTTTCCCCCAACGAAGGATAAAAATAATAAGAGATCAGAAAGGCAAAGAAAGACGGGGAGTTGAGTATGACCTGCGTTATTAGCGCACCACATAGAGAACATGCTTGAGAAAATGGAGGAAAAAACAAAGGCCGGATAAGAACTCCTGCCCATCCAATATGTAAATGCATCCGTAGTCGCTCATGAGCCTGTTCACGGGTTACAAAAAGGGGAAAGAGAAGAAATGAAAAATAAAAAAGAGTGTACAATGTAGCGTGACTAGAAGGAAGGGAAAAAAAAGGGGGGGAGAGAACATGAAAAGCAGCAAAGAGCACGGGAAACAATAATAAAAATATAAAATCGGATCCACCAGCGTAAATAGCTCCTGTGGAGGTAGTTAGTGTGCACATCACATCCACCTCCTAAGATTATACCCAATATAAAAATCTGAATGAAAAAAGTCGTACAGCTCCAAACCCAAACCAGCCGGAAGAAACAAACAAAAAACTATTTCGTCCCCCCCACCCTCGCAGCTCCACCACTAGCTCTCCACCAAACATCGCCGCCCCATCTCATCATCCGCTCAACCGCTGCTGTGGGTGTATCGACCGCAGGCCGGATATCAAGATAAAACACCGGCTCACCGTCCGGCCCCGGAGGCCCGGAGTAGTAGTCAATCACGTAGCGCACTTCTTTGGGTCCTGAGGGTGTCTGGCGTTGGACGTACCAGTCATGTCGGTCGAAGGGGGGCGCTGTTCTATTTTTTTTGTTAGCTTGTGTATATGAGATAGTGAAATGGAAAGGGGGGTCCAGGCGCAACCCACCCAAACTTAGCCGGATAAACCCAACCCAGCGCCTGCAAAATGCTCGCCTTGGGCGTCCACTCCTGCGGCCTGCCCTGAAATCTCACCAGGCGCGGCTCAGGCAGCCGACCACCAGCATCATCCACACCACCAGGACTACTCTCCCTCCACTTCTCCCTCTCCATCTCCTCCCGATGCACCTCCTCCCACAACCCCAGCTCCCCCTTCTTGCACCGCTGCCACCCCTTCCACAGCCCGCCCGCAAACGTACGTTCCCACCCCACAATCTCCTCCCACGCGCCCTCGTTGAGGAAATTGTGAACCGCAACCATCGCCTCGACGGCGTCCTGCGGTGTGTCCGAGTAGCCCTTGCGCAGCAGCGCGTTGTACATCTGCTGCGGGGAGGGGTATTCCCATCTGCTGCCGCCGCCGTCGGTGTTGTCGTCGGCGCGCGGGATGGAGGAGATCTCGCGCTCGACGGGGAGGTCGAAGGTTTGGTTTGGCGCGCGGGTCTGCGGGATGGAGGTGAACATGTAGTTTAGGGGGTTGAGTTTGGAGAGGGTTGATTGTGATTCAGATGTGGTGGGGTCAGGGGTTGCGGCGGCGGCGGCGGTGGGCTGTTGCGGGGTAGGCAATGAAGAAGGGGCTACGTAGAAGGGGGAATCCTTTGAGCGGATGGGACAGGCTGAAGGTGGTTGTTCTGTGTCATTCTTGCTCTGGCCTGGAAGGGTGCGGATGGGACAACCGGATTGGGACTATGCGCGGGCAGCAGGAAAAGTGGGGAGGGTCTGATTAGCCGATTTTGTTCAAGACAATTGGAATTTAAGGATTTTTCATTGGGATGCATGGTTACCGCCTGGGTGTTATCCGATCGTGGTAATCCAAGTCTCTGCCGCTCTGCACCTTGCGTGTATTCGTTGGCGGTTGGAGATGGCCCCGAGGGTTTGGAAGCCCAGAACCAGCCCATGTTTATTATTTGTTGTGATTTATTTGTATTTTCAGAATGGCAGATATATATAATTTTCGTGGAGGGGTATATTCTGTTGTTGGTGGAAAGCAGACACGGATTGCAGGCGATACTCAATTGAGGTTGTAGTTTAACTATGTATGATGAAATATTGTTTTGGGAACAGAAAGAAAGTTTTTTTTAACTTTTTTTTTTTGCAGCAAAGAAATCCAGCGATGATGACGCTCACGTGATGGCGCACTAATCAACCAATCATATCTACATATAATCTGTACTCTGTACTCCTATGAGAATAAACCAGTTAAATACAAAAATTAATAATGAAATACCAGCAGCTCAGTATTACGTCTCTACCCATAGAGTATTATTTCCCAAAAAGGCTCAAAAAATGAAAATAAAATCAAATAAACCGCCCAAAGTAACCTCCATCGCAACCCAATCCAATCCCAAAAAACATGAGTGAAGTATAGACTCCCTACGAACAATAAGCAGGCCAAACCCAAACTCGCTGACCAAAGAGCCGAACATAAATAAGGATACAAAAATAAGTATAACTACACCAAGAAGAGGGAAATTATAAAACAAAAACGGAAACAGAAAGAAAGAAACAAACCAAAATCCCAAAGTCGAACTCCCCCTTTTCCTTTTCCCTTCTTCGCCGTCTTTTTCTTTTTTGCCCATCTGCCGCCCAAAAGAATATACCAGAATTAAAATCCAAATCCAGACCGAAACGAAAACGAAAGCGGTATATAATAATACACTCAGCCATATATCCCTTTATTCTGACCTCTTGGCCATACCTCCCTTACGCCACCTCCACAACAGCAGGCCCTCGCACAACCTCCTCCCAAATACCTCGAAACACCTTGCCCTGCAACTCAGAAATATACAAATACCCTTTCAACACCTCCTCAACCGCCTTCCACCCATCGTCCCCATTCCCATTGCCATTGCCATTACTACTACCAACATACACGTGCTCCCCACCCCACCCAGTCCCAGTCCCAGTCCCAAGGACAGGCCGAATCCACCCCCTAACCGCCGCAACATCCCTCAACCGCTCTAGAAACCACGGCTTCGTCTTCTGGGCCCTCGAGCCGCGCGCACCCAGGAACGCCGCCCAGGCGACCAGGTCGAGCCACGCGCTTGGTAAACTGGGGAACATGGACGTAGGGAACCTGCTGACAGCCACGCTGAGGTGGCGTGTAAGGGCGCAACCGAGACCGGAGGAGGGCGGGGAGACGATGAAGAAGTGGTTTATGTGGCAGATGGCGGCGACCCGGGCGATGGCTTCGAGGGGTTGGAGTGGTGGTTCTGAGGTTATGGAGGTTACGGAAGTGGGGGGAGTTTTCTGGCCGAGCCGGTACGGGTACTCTAGTAATTCGTATTGCATCTCGTGGCTTTTGTAAACGAATATTTCGTTCTCGACGGTGGAGAAGTTTGCTGGGTGCTGGGCGCTGGCGTGTTCGAAGAAGAGGATCTCGCGGAGGCCCCTGAGGGCGTTTCGAAGTGGTGTGGAGAGAGCTTCGTTGGTGCAGAGGGCCATACCGGTGTTGGATAGTTGGGAGGTGGGTGGTGGGAGTATCCGTCCTGCGGTCTCCGGTGGGATTGGTTGTAAGTCCCATGTTAACGGGAAAAGGGGGCGTGACATGAGTGCAGAAGCGGACATGATATCGCATCTATGGGAATGTTTAGAAGGGGGTTGAATCTAACATGAGTTAATCTATTTTGAGAAGGGCAGGTAACCTACGTTAATATGTTAGAGAGCACGCGCATCCCCTCTCCTTGGAATGAGGAACCGAAAACACCTCCGCGCAAGTCAACCATCTTTTTCAATCCCTTGATATGAATTCTGGCTTCGTCGAAATCGCCAATAGTCAACTAGAGTATGTTTGCGATGATCAGCATATTTGCACAACTAAATGTATTCATAAAAGCATAAAAGACCAATCATAGCAAAGACGGACAAAGAAAGAAGTATAAAACCTACCGCACAAGACGTCAAACTAACAACAATATCAAAGGCCGAATCCGACAGCGACAGCTTCGGATCATTTATTTTCCTATTCATTTCATCAATACACCGAGCCTTCATCATGTAATAGTCCGGCTCGAACAGCTTGTCATTTTCAGAACCAGCTCTAGCCGCGATAGACAAGGGGTCCGGATTCTTCCCTTGCAAGACAGCTCGATGCGCGGCGCACAGACTCATGTAGCCGAAGAAAGGCCCTGCTTCAGAGATTGTCGCGTTGATAATTAGGGCCATGCGTTTTTTGCTGTCATGGGGCTGTTTTGTTTCCGCGGGGAAGGTCATGGGAATTAGGACAGCGGAGACTTTTTCAATATATGATCAGCTTAATTCCGATGGGATATAGGTATAATATTTTTGTTAAAAAATACAAGCGAAAAATAAAACAAAATAGAAGGTTACCTACAGTATTTTATCAGTCCGTCTATTATGGTATTGGTAGGCGGACTTGAGCCCGGGAGGGTGCCGAAGGGGTCAAAAGCCCAGGTAGGGGAATCCGTCCACAGATTGGGGAAGTAAGGTGAATCTGAATCATCCTTACCCGGCACGACGGCGGCGCCATCTCCAGACGGTGATCCGCCGGTCATCCATAAATCCGAAATCGAGGTCGGACTTAGGCTCATCGTTGTCGTATCTGATATACTGTTGTTGTCAATATCCCTTGTCGTATCCGCGTCGCTAACGCTAGCACGGGCGCTGGCATTGGCACTTGCGCTCGCACTGGGAGTGCTTTTCCGCTGGTTCTTTGCAGTGGATGCGGCGGTCTGGGTATCAGTCTTATTTTTACTGGCAGTTGGCGACGAGCTCTTCTCTTTAGCAGCACCACGCTTGGATGTCCGCTTTAGACCGAGTAGTCTCTCTCTGCGCCGCACGTCGCGCATAACATGGGACCTGATCGCCTTGCGGGCGTTTGCGTCCTTGATCCGTTTCGAGGCGAGATCGTCATCGTGGTCGATGAAGGTGAAAGATGGGGCGTCTGACGGGATTGATGATTTGGATGATTTTGGAGCTAATTGCATTTGACAGCGGCGCAAGATGAGATACGGTTAGCATACCAACTGGTTGTTCTTGCGCATAATGAAACGTTGCACAATCTGGGGTATAATTATAGAACAAATGGGGGGAACAAAAACTCAATCCAGGCGCACTGGGGTAGGATGAATGGGGTATATATTGGTAACCGCCATTCCTCCGCAGTTTCTATAGACTATGGAAAGGAAAACGGATACAACAACGGCAGAGAGTAGTATAGCATCCAAAAACGTGGGCTATAATAAATTGGAATACTACAACAAACTCCCTGGGATAGCCTCTGACTGGCAGTATCATAGAAGCAATGAGGCAGGGACACGGAAAGTTATATAGCAGACTAAAAGAAAACGCGCACCTTGAGCGGGCTTAGCAGGGGAGTTGGACAATGTCGTCCGTCCCTTCGCCTGTATCTGTCTAGGTTGCTGCTGTTGCTGCTGCAGCTGCAGCTGTATATGTGGTAGCTGTGGTGGCTGGTGCTGGTGTCCGTGGTTGTGGCTGTGGTTGTGGTTGTGGTGGATATTGTTTTGCTGTTGCGGCGGTGGTGGTGGTGGTGGCGGAAGGATCTGCGCCGTCTGCTCCCAACGTATGTGGTTCGCCATGGTTTAACTGGTATGTGTAGTGCGAGTGACTCCGTTGTTCTCCTCCAAGACTAGCAGCCTCTTAAATCTATAGCGTAGCAGCCGTGGAAGAGAGGTGTGGATCGCAGGTTCATCCCTGGCATATCGTGGCAAGCGGCGGAGGTGGAGGCGGCGGGCGGCGGGCGGCGGGGAGCTCTCCGTCAACAGAAGAACCGGACCGGGCGCGCGCGGAATATTGCAGGACGGGGGAGACGGCGTGATAATAGCTGCGGAATCAGGCGGGGATAAGTAATAATAGCGAATAAAAGATATGGTGGTGGAATAGATGTGGGGGAACGTTTGGTAGCGGAATCCGGGGAAGAGGACGGGAGGTGGTTGTGTGGAGATATATATATCACGGGAGCGAGATATTTTGAGTTCGGTTTGGTGGACGCAGGAAAGTCAAAAAACAGACGAAAAAGAAAGAAGAGGAAAAAGAAGATGAGAGGAAACCAGACAAGAGCAAAAAAGGCAAAAGCTTCCGCAGATGGAGGCGGAGGTTTTCTTATTATGGTTATATTTAATTCTTCTAGGATAAATAGAGTGTATCTCATATCGTCGTCGTTAGGGATTTGCTCTTGTATGTATGTGGTCAACTAACTATCTATCTACAGCTTAGCTCGTTCGAAGCTCCGCAAACACCAATCAGCAGCCGAGACATCAAGTCCCAAGGGCGGGCTCTAGCTGCATTCCTGTCCAGAGAAGTATCCCGCCCCGCCCCGCCCCCGAAGATCCGATAACATGGCCCAAAGCAATCCAGATGTAGGTCCCTACATCCATCTACCATACACGATTGTGACATAGTTAATTTTATTTGTCTTCAATATTAAACAATTCTTCAATCGTCACCTCATTCCCCCACAGATCTCGGTCCCACGGCGCCCCCGTCGAGTAAATCTACACTCGAAATATCCATGCACTCTAAAAGAGATATAAGATATATACATACATGGCTACAGGATTGAGTGTGCTGCAGTTAGCCTCTCCGGAACTCAGCCATCTTCTGCATCTTGTCCCGTCCCCATCCCATGGGCCTTTTCCATCCCGCGATACAACGGAGGAGTACTATTGGGCCCCCTCTTGAGCCACAACTTGGCGGGCGATCAGGGAGCAAATGGGAGCTTTGAACTCTGTTCTGGCAGCCCACGGCAGCCGATGTGCCGCGCGTGCGCCATCGGTCTTCCGGGCCCTAATAAAAACTACTACCAGGTAGTTAGAGGTATCTTAAACCTTTTGACCCTCCGGGAGCTTGAGATCGTCCATTGTCTGTCCACTGATTGCTGGAAGCAGCTCACTTTTTGGGTTTAAAGCCTTCCTGGAGCAGCCAATATGCAAAATAAGGTTTGGGTGCCTCTTTACCTGGCGCTTTCAACATCATCATGATGACGATGATACAACAATAAGAGGTCCCGTAGGGAGGCGGTTAAGCTTCACAACTGGCAGCCGTTAGTTTGAGCTCCGTAGTTTAGACTTTTCGAGGTCGATCGAGGCAGCCCCAGGCGCCAGAACCATCCGGCGGCCGCCGCTTGCCAAGGTCGCTCGCACCTATAAGGTTTATTTAGTGTTTTTGGCCAAAAGCTTTTTCTGGCTTTTAGTACGGATATCGTGATTGGTGCGGAGTCGCCGGTGGCTTCTGAAAGTAAAATGGTATTATTGTTAAAGAGTGGACCTGCCACCAGTTACTACTAGGTAACAAAAGTAAAATGGAAGAAGTAATAATGTCCTGCGTTTCAAAGAAAGGTAACTGCTAAAACCTTATGCAAGGAGGCAGCCCGGTTTACACTGTAGTAGTAGATCACTAATGAATAGCAATTAATAACATATATACATATCTAACTGCATCAGTTTGTCGTGTTGAGATCTCTTTCATACTGAAGACAGAAGAAGTAGCTAAGTAGATGTGTGTTAAAAGATTGAATGCCCTCATCTGGCTCTTCATATTCAATAAAACTCAGCCCTCTTGATCCTACTGTTCATTCTCTAGTGAAACGGCGTGGGTTTCTATATTGCATATTCATGAAAAATGTATGCAGGTCTGGTGATAAGGAACCATTCCTCCATCCATAACTTTACATATTGACAAAAAGAACCAGAAAAGAAAAATTAAATTAAAATTAAAAATTAAAAAAAATTAAAAAAAAAAATTAAAAAAAAAGGAAAATATATTCATTTCACCATCACTAATTCACTATAATGAAATATTTTCAATGATATCTCAACAATGCAATTAGATTTTAAGGTGATATATTATATGATGAAAATATATACAGAAAATTACATATAAAAATATACATCTAATTCTGTAGATGTTTGTTTGACTTAATAACTCACTCAGAATGTGAAATCTTGAGTGAAGACAGATTCAGTGAGCAAGCAGTCATTAAATCAGTAAAGATTGTAATATTATCAGATTTCTCTGACACTGAATTCATGAACTTTCAGACAGAGCTCTGAAAATGTGATTTAGTCACTTTTTACAAAATCAAGAGTCTACTTTTCTGATTAGAAAGATAATTTTTGAATTTTTCAATCTTTTTCTTATTCAACTATGATCTGTACAGCAGCTCATTCTTTCTTCTCTTTTTACTCTTGAGTCTTTTTTACATCTCTAAGCTTCTTTTCAATCTGCTGTTGAGTAGCTCTTGCAGTCTTATTCATATTTTTTTGCTGCTTTGCTGTCTGATGAGCTGTCTTCTGCTTCATTCACCATGACAAATCTATCAAACTGCTTTGATTCCTCAGAGCAGGTGCAGAGTCATGTGTTTATCACATTGAATGTCCATGATGGCAAGTCATATGCTTTAAAGCTGGTACATTGTGTACTTTCTTTTTATTCAAGAGAACTCAAGTTCTGATCTGTTTGACTCATTCTTGCTGGTGAGATAATGCTGTTGACATCACAGTTGCATCACACACTCACTCTAATTGTATACATTTCTACATGTCTAGGCTAGGCACTGGCCATATGAGAATACAGATTTCTCCCTCATGAAGATCAAACAACATGAGAAGATACTGAGGGCTCCTTGCGTTCGTGAAGCCCGCTTTTGCCCGTCTCGACAGTGTTGGCGAGAATGGTACATGGGGCAGGAAAATGCCATGGGTGGATCAAGCTTAATGATAGTCAATTTAAAGAGTTGGGCAACAAGCATCACATATTTTGTCGATGGGCTATCATCAAAGACAAAGACATGATTCCTCATGAAATCAGCATGAGTGATATCCCCGAAGTACACCGCAAAATGCAAATAGCTCGTAAAGCTCTGCTGTGGCCTGGAGATGTCAAACCTGAGAATTATCGCGGTTCGGTTATCGTGGATTTGGGCAACACGATCACCTATCCTGGAATCCGCCGTTTCTGGTCGAAGTCAAGACGCAGGGAGAGCTTTGCTAGTATGGATCGGTATTTTACTGACTGGGAACAGTCCCATCGAGACGGAAAACTTATCGAGAAGTATAGGAATACGATTCCTTAAAAAAAACTTGGCTGTCGTAAAGAAGCTGGAGGAGGAGTGGTTGAACAAAAAGCAAGATGAACAAGAAAACAGGGAGGAGTCATTTATACAGGGAGATGGGACACATTGGTGGTTGAAATCTGATATGGAGGTCTAAGTTGTACCGTATCTATAATAATTTCTTCATCAACTGAGAATAACCCAGTGGTCAGTTGTGCATGTTCTTGAGATAGATATTCTTTCAAGCATATTTGGCTTTTCATAAATAGTTCAATGGTGATAGACATTTCACCTCCCCCCCCCCCCAAAAAAAAAAAAAAAAAAAAAAAAAAAAAAAAAAAAAAACTTTGAGAACTAAGCTATGGACTATTCGTGAGACCTAGGCGGACAAGAAGAGAAAAAGAATAATGAAACAACAGAACAATAGAATAATAATAGAATAACAGAGCAACAGAAAATGAAAAATGAAAAATGGAATGAAAAGGTTGGCATCAGAACTATTGATCTCCAAAATTCAATGCCGAAAGGAATGCAAACCAGAGTGCCTGCACCTTGTGGTGCCATCACTGAACTGCTAGAGAGATTCTCTCAATGCGACAATCACGGCTTTTTTTTTTCTTGCCTTTTCCATTACTATGGTCACTCTCCCTGCTGCTGCTATTGCTGGTAGATTCAGCCCGAGGTTCGGAGCATTTTACCTCACAGAACTCTGCTTTCCTGTTTATCACATATGGAAGATAAACTTTGCGACTCTTAACACTCAAGGACCTGAACTCCTGTATCACCTCTCATTACTTCCTTTAGTCACATATACGAACATGGCCCCAGATTCGTCGAATTCAAGATGTACTATGTCTTCCATAATCAAATGGCTTCCTCTAGGCGGTGACTGTTCATGGGGGGAAGGTAGCCGAGCTGATGGTGAGGCAATGTAATCTGGCAAGGATTCTAATCGGCTGGGGAGAGGTGATAGCGGACTCGAGAGAGACGAAATGATTCCATCTCGATTCTGTGGAGTGGACGGGCGCTGTGGAGATTGGTATTGCAATATTTCACCAGTGGTTGGTTTGGTGCTGACTACACTCCCAGTGGAGATGTGTTCATACCCCCCTGCTACAGGTCTCCAAGCATGGAGGGGTGGATAGTCATGGCCAATGTCTATATCACGGCCGTCGCCTGATAACAAATGAATTCACCAAAGTGCAAGCTTGACGGTGAGTTTTTTCGGTCCGCTGTTGCTCCATGGGATGCGCTTGAATTCGACAGGTGGAATGTAAATGTCCTTGTTCTGAGGATTGGCGGGAATGCTGGGGTAATCTCATGTCTATTTGCATTTGACTGGATGCTGATGTATGTGAGTCATTTCACTGGTGAGATCTGGATGAAAATTCTTGCTGTGGAGCAAGTTCACGAGGAGATCATTTCATAGTGATACCCGAACCGACCCTTTCCCGCGAAAATCGCATAACGACAACTTCATCCTGGTTAATTATGTACCCATATCATGTCCCCCACTGCGTGTAGCAGTACTTGAGCAATTGTGTAATCGGCCAATAATAGGCTATATAAGTCCGGCTCATCATTGACTTCCATTTCTCTGCAAGCTTCATCTCTCCCAGGCAGTGATTGACATATCCAGTTTCACCTGCTGTTTTCACGGCACCTGCCCAGTCAGGAAATAATGAATTTCTTTCGACACCAGCATCAATATTTGCTCTCCCGCCTCGCGTCATGTCGATGGCATTACTAATGTTCATCCCACTCTGAGCCTTTGCCAGGCCAACGCTGACCTGGGGGACTATATAGCGAGTCATCAGATGCTCAAAGGTGTCTTCATTCCAAATTTCACGTTCAAGCGTGGTTAGGTCTGGGGAACACTTGGGAAGGTATGATCTCGGTTTGCGTAAAATATCGCCATAACAGGCTAGAAGAGTGTCCAACGTGAAATCATCCCAGTCCGAGATGGCAGCCTGATCAGTTGGTAGGCCCTGTGAAGCATTGTCGCTGTTGAGTTCTGGATTTGGCTCAGTAAGATATTCGAGGAGAGTGCGAGAAGTCATTGTCCTTAAGGTTACTTACGGCACTTTTGAAAATCCGACAGGCGAAAGAGCTTCGTCGGGACAGATAACTGAAGTGAAAACCTTAGATTCCCTCGTGATAGGGATGTTGAGAAAAATCGTGATGGGAGAACAGCAGGAATCGATCAAAGTCGCGCTGGAGGATTTTCTATTCAGGAAAGAACAATTGGCTTAGAGATGGCGTTGAAAGTGCAGGTATTTTGCAGGGGAATAGGTTGAAAATAGGTTGAAAATGGTGTGTTAAACAAATCTCAAATGTGATGACAACATGAATTTTAAGAGTACAGCGAGTGAGACTGTCGATGGGAATAGACACCTATTTATGCGCAATCTCTTGCTTCTCAGAAAAGGTGTAGGCCTGGTATATCTTCTCATGGTGAGCCACTGACATCCTTAGAGCCAGTGCTATTCAGCCTATTCTTGCCGCTGGCTGGTTCCCATTGAGATGAGAGAGATTGGAGGTGAGAACCTCCGTCCATTTCATTACACTCAATGCGGAAAAGAAATCGTCGTTGGCTCTGGCATGATTGGAGCGCTTATCCACACAGGTTCACGCCCCTGGCTAGGTCCAAAGATAGCGACCAACGAAACGAGATGACCTTTAGTTATCTGTTAACAAAGCTGCGCCGCTCTGGTTCCATCACCAGGGGTGAGGGGTAAGCGCCAGACTGAAACAACAAATGTAATAATTATGTAGTTCTAACTTGGGTTGGATTTTTATGTATATCATATTGTTCAAACAGTCACTCCAGCACCGGCAGCACAGAAGAATCAAAGAGAAGGTAAGAAACTTCAATTTTCAACAATAAGTACAGATAGAGCTAGACAGTGTCACAGTGGTCTGTTCTAACTTGAGTTACATTTCAGGAAATCTTGAACTTGATTATTATGAAAGATCTCATGATCAGTGAATATAAAAATTTTGTATACTTATTATTCATACTGTTCAGTAACTAATTCAATTTCAGCATAAACTATGATTTATGAAGCTTGACAGCTGTATTTGATTAGTGTAAAGTTTATTTCAAACCCAGTGTTGAGTTTGATGTGAGCTCTCGGCATCATAAAAAAAAAGCTTCAATTGTGAGAACCTGAAAAGACAGGGTTTTTTTTCGGTCGGGTCCCGGGTCGGGTTTACAACGCTACTCTTGACAGAGAGAAGAAATATATGATATATAATCAAACTTTCAGCAAATAGCTTTAAAGTCTGAGAAGTGAAATTGAGCTTGTCTTTATCAAAATTTGCATATATAGACTTATTGTGAGAATATTTT